TAATAATAATAATAAAGCGTACATTAACGTCCACTGAGGAGCTCAACAAGCTCCCAAAACTTGTCACGACCAGAGCTGCGTGACCTAAAGCAACTTTTGTGTGTGTAATTATTTATCAGAGTGGCTGATTAAAAGCATGAATGGATTAAAAAAAGAAGAAGAAGAAGGAAGGAGCATGTTGGAGCTGTGCAGGACTTGGCAGCTCAGTTCCTCTCTGAGTGCTTTTTGCCTTAATTGTTCCAAAGGAGCTTACATTGTAATCCTGAGCCACAACAACCCCACGCAAGACCCCCTTATATAGACTTCAAATCAGCACTAAAAACAAGGAAATCTTAAGATTTGATGCTTTCAGTGAATCACAGTGCATGTGGGGATTTAAATAAACCCAACTCCTTTTAGTTTTGCATTGCTTTTGGCGGCTGTGGTGGCATTTCTGCACAGACGCCGTGCGTCTGAATCTTGGTTTGGAAAGCTGTGTTTTCATCTGTTTTCTTTATTTTAGGAAACATGCACTGAACTGCCACAGAATGAAACCTGCCCTCTTCAACGTCTTGTGTGAAATAAAAGAGAAAACAGGTAAGGACCCCCCCCATCGGTGGGATAAATGGTTGTGGCTGTGCAGTTTAAATCCATTTATTATTCCTCAGCATCCTCATCTTTAATWATGGGACATGTCTTTAAAAACGTCCCATTTTTTTAAAAGAAGAAAATGTGGATTTTTGCCATGAAAAACAGGTCATAGTCGCTTTAAACACAAGATAAACGTACACTGTGAAGTATTTGTTGTTGGAATTCCATTAACTTGCAGGCGATGTTTTATAACCCCGTTAAACAACAACAGTAGCTGCTCTATTTTCGTCTTTATAAAGTAGAATTACTGTCAAAACAACCGAAACAGTGGATTGTGTCAACATGTGACTGGGCAGTGTTTTGGTTTTCCTCTGAGCCAAGTTAGAGGGGGTTCTTTATTATTATTCTTATTTTTTATATTTGCAAAAAAAAAAAAAAAAAGGTTTGAAGGAGGAAAGCGCAAACTTATTTCAGATTAATGGAAAGAAGAAGCAGCTGATGTGCGATGAAGGCCTGCGAGTCCCCTCCTCTGAAGGGGACGTCGCTGCTTTTCAAGGCAGGAAATAAAAACAAAAATATCCAATATCGCCTTATCTGTGAACACGACTTTGAAGCTGTCTGCGAGGTTATTGAGAGAGAGCCTTGTCACTTCGCCGCTGTGTGTGTGAGTGTGTGTGTGTGTGCTGAGAATAAACACAAGGGGTGGGGGACCGAGCTGCAGGGGGGAGGCTGCACAGTTTTCATTAAAACAACACAAAAAAAAGTGCTCCTCGCTGACATTTCATTTGTGTGAGTCAGAGTTTTTTTGGCACAGGTTTCCTCCAAAAAACAAGGAGAAGGGAACATGCAGACACTTGAGATTTTCATCAGATTTACGGAGAGCGGAGGAGCCCGTGTGGAGGAAGCTACAGTAAGGGGGCTTGGGGGGATGCGAGGGGAGGGCAGTGGAGAGGGGGGGCCTGCTTCTAAATTGCGAGGCTTGGAAAAAAGTGAAAGAGTAATGCCTGGCTCTTTGTAAACTGTCTGGCGTCTCCCCGGGTTCAACCAGAGTTCGTTTCCAAAAAGAAGAACAAAGTGACTTGGACCTTTTCCTGGCTCCCCCCTCCACGCGCCCCCCCATCTCCACCTCCTCTTCTCACCGTTCTTGGCAATCAGCTCCTGACAGGAGAGAGGCTCCCCTCAGACTGCAAATTGTCCTCCCCTCTGTTTCGAACCAAGTTTGGAAATGAACACGTTTCTCCGCAGCTCGTTTCCCTCTCCTCTCGAGGACTTGATCAGTACATTTGTTTTTAAACTCTTTAACGACCCTCAAATCAGCAGCGTCTTCCCCGCCGCTTATGATAAAACGCTTCCAGTGTTCGAAGAACTCCTACAACCTCCTGGACGCGTGCACACGTGCGCCTGCAAAGAAAATCTTCCCTGTCTCCATTTGAAGAGCTGAGCTGCAGCTCATCTTCGCCTATAGGAGGGTTTGTGCAGACGAAACTGAAAATCCTTTTCACTGCAGTGACAGAGAAAATGACTCAAACCTTCACCATGGCATTTACAGCCAAATGTGCTGAGTGCAGTGTATGCGGGAGGAGAACAGCCTGTAATTTGTCAGGACTTTTTTTTTTTTTTTTTTAGATTCGTTCTAAAGAGTCAGCTTCCTCGTGCTTTTGCAGTCAAGAGTGTCTCTGAAGACGATCGTAAAGATACGAAGCCTTTAGTTGTTGTGTTCGGAGCGTAAGAGCAGCTCTTCCTGTTATCGGCGGTGCGAGTGTTGACAGCAGCAATATGGGTCACTGCCGCAGTGAGGTGTCCGTTGGCAGGCAGCTGACAAACAAGGCGGGAGTGCATGCCGATAGCAGGCAGAGAGGGCCTTAACTGATGACCCCCACTCCCTGCTCTTTTTTTTTTTTTATCCGTGCTGGGGTCTTTCTCGTGTCACCGGCGTTGGAGTATTTAGCAAGCCTAAACAAGCTCAGGTTTACACGAATGGAGAAGCTACATGGAAGGCTTGTGTTACCACTTAGAGATGTTCAGTTTGGCAGCTGAGGTTGTTCCTCTCCATCTCCCCTCCCCTCTCAGCTTTTCTGTGTTTTTTTTTAAATAAACTATCATCAAAGTTTTGTTGTCCCTGCGCTCACTTGGAGAGCGTCTTTTGTTTGTGTGGAACCACTGCGGCAAAGGAAGCTGGCACGACCAGGTCGACTAAAGTAAGAGAAGCCAGACACCAAGTCAGTGTTTCTAGGTGTCAGATTTCAGGCCTATCCTCACCCCGCCCTCTCTCTCTCGCTCTCTTTTCCGGCCTGGGACTGTTTCGTCAGGGGCCTCGCGTTACGTCTACGCAGACCGGGGTCGGATGGAAATCTCCTGCATGACTAATGTGATCAGGCGGATAATGCATTACACCGCTTGAACTTATCAAAGCTGGAGACCTGCTGAATCAGTGCGTTCTGCTAACTGCGGTCCTCCACAGGTCTGCGCTGCTAATCAGACACGGCGCTTTAGATGCTCGCGGGGACGGTGCTCCCCTCCGCTCGCGTCGCAATTTAAAAACCAGTCCGGTTGTACTGACCCTGACGCAGGAGCTGTTGACACCAGCTGAAGCCTAGCTTTATGTTTAGCTGAACATTAGGAAACATTTTCTGATGTCTGGATGCCAGAATTTTAAACTAAAGCCTCTTCTGTTGAAAAACGATGGCGTCAAAGCCATTTTGGTCACATCTTCAAGATAACGTTAATCACAGTCTCATGTAGGGATGCACGATATATCGGTATTGATATCGGTATCGGCCGATATTGGTCTTTTTTAGAATATCGGTATCGGTCCGAAATGTAAAACGGGGACAATATTAATGTCCGATATTGATTTACCGCTTTTTAGCTTTGAGTTTGTGTTTTGGGAGGTGAGACGGTTGGTTGAGCAGCATCTGTTTGATCATGATACGGATAGTGACGCTGCGCATCATGAATAACTCAAGTAGAGCCATGTCGGAGGTCTGGTTGTTTATTTACAGTATCAAAAAAAAAACCCAAGTGTGTTTTTGCATATATATAACATAATTTGTATGTTTGTGTAATATCAGTAAATATCGGTTATCGGCCATAACACCAATAATTATATCGGATATCAATATCAGCTGAAATTTTCATATCGATGCATCCCTAGTCTCATGTAAACTTTCCTTTTTTTGTTAGAGCTCAGAGTATGTGTTGTGAAATGACTCAGAGCTAATACCACATGAAAGTTTAGCCTAAAATTGATAAAATACACTGGGGGATAGCTGTTTTAATGTAGGCCAGGACGGATGAGGTGTGGTGGCCATCTTGAATTGGGTTGACTGTAAAAGTTAATCAACTGTAGATTCATATCCAGCGATTAATGTCTGAGTGTCTCGTTGAAATTTGATAAGGGGTTTTGGAGATGTTTTGCTAACAGAAAAACAAAGATGTCGCTCAATGCATTCGGCTTATAGTTTGTGTTGGGGAAGATGCGTAGCTAGCCTACAACCACACCAAGTTTTAGTGTAATACCTGTAAAATTAAGTTAAAGTTTTTTTGTTGTTTTCGTTTTCTAACGTCAGCTTTTGGCAGCCGTCTTGAATTGGGACACATCAAACTGTAGATGTCAAACCAATGATCACTTTCTGACAGTTTCATTAAAATCGTTCAGTAGTTCATGATATCCAGACTTGGCCAAAAACGTTACCCCTCCTCCTTCCCCCTTAGCAGCAGGCATTCACAACAAATTAAAGTTCGCATTTAAGTTTTTAAAAATGAGAAATTAAATCTAATGTCATCTGACCTAGTCAATAAGCAATCATCTTCATTGGCCTAAAATAAGCCAACTGGTGCGTAGACACGATGTGGGACGACTAGTTCTAGCGTTTCCTTTAATATCGCCCCTAAACGATGATGGAGGTACTCGTTGAGGTCCCATGCAGCGGCGGCTAAACTGGTCAGGATGGCTCCCAGCGCTGCTGTTTCTCAGTATTTAATTGACATGGCTGTCCATGATGAGTTCAGGGGTTAGTGTTGCCTCTCTTTGTTACTCTCCTCTCATATCCAGTGACAGATGGAGGCATTAGTCTCCAATGTGGCGCTGTCCTGAAACTAATGGCTATGTCCTTGGCTTCCCCGCGCTAGCTGGGAGACTGTATATCTGTCCCTGGCTTGGAAGTGCAGAAGCA